ATGTACCTTATCAGAACACAGTGGAATAAAAATACATATCAATACCAACAAAGTTACCCCAAAGCCCATAAAGACATGGACATTAAACAGCATGCTGAACAACTCCTGGGTCAAAATGGAAATCAAAGCAAAAACTTAAAAATTTCTGGAAACAAATGAAAATACAGATACATCCTAACAAAACCTCTGGAGTACCATGAAAACAGTACTGAGAGGGGAATTGATTTCTATACTAACACACATCAAGAAAATGGAAAGCTTACAAGTTAACAGTCTAACAAATCACCTAGATGAGCTGGAAAGACAAGAACACCAAAACCCTAACTTCAGCAGAAGAATCCAGATCACCAAAGTAAAAGCCCAAATACAGGACATAGAAGACAAAAATTATAGAAAAAAAAAAGTCAATGAAACCAAAAGCTAGTTTTGAAAGGATAAACAAGATTGACAGACCCCTAGCCAGACTGACAAAGAAAAAGAGAGAAAAAGTCCAGATAAACACAATCAGAAATGCAAAAGATCAAATTACAACTTACCCTGAAGAAATACAAAAAGCTGTAGAGATTACTATGCACACCTGTATGGAAACAAACTCAAAGACCTAAATGAAATGGATGACTTTCTGACATCACACAACCCCCATGATTAAAAGACAAAGAAACTGAGATATTACATGAACCAATAACAACCCAGAAAATTAACTCCATCATAAAAAACTACCCACAAAAAAGTTCTGGACCAGATGGCTTTCCAGCGGAGTTCTACTAAACATACAAGGGGGAGCTAAGACCAATCCTATGGAAAGTACTCTAAGCAAGCAAAAGAATCTGTCAGAAACCTTCTTGCACGAATAAAGATCCTTGGAAAAGACTCAGGGTACAAAATCAACATGAAAAAGACAGTCACATTCTTATACACCAACAACAAAGAGTCAGAGAACTAAATAAAAAGCACAATCTCATTCACAATAGCAACAAAAAAGATACCTTGGCATCTTCCTAACCATCTGGTGTCTTGTGAACTCAATGACAGTGTTATGGGGAAAACTTCTCATCTTCCCTCTATTCTCTGCACTGTTACCAGAGTGATGATTCTTAAACCAAGCCCACTTAAAACACATCAGAACCATTGCATCTGCATAATTTTAGGGATAGCTTCCAAACTCCTTAGCACGACATGTGAGATTGCTCATGAATTTTCCCCTACTACAGTATGCATGTTAATTCGTTACACCTGCACTTGTATGTGTGCGTGTGACAACACACACACACACACACACACACACACACACACACACACACACTTGTCACCTCTCACACTAATCGTTCTGAATTTCTTGTTCACAGAAGGGAACTTGTTGGGTTCTTTTGTAGAGTCTCCCCTGATTGGTGGTCTTCTGCTCTTCCTTAATTGACGCATTCCTACTTGTCTTTGAGGCCTCATTTCTTTAGAAAGGTGTTCTTGATTGTCTCCAGTCTTCTTCTGGTGCCTCTGGTAACACCCACTATGTACTTTGCTCTATCATGGAATGTGTCATCTTATTCTACAATTATTTGTACCCATTGCTACATCATTCAATAAACTATGAGTTCCTGGAAGTAGAATCTGTGTTGTTCGATCACAGTGCTCTGTCCATTGGAGGAGCTCTAGACATACTGGATGAATAAAATTCAGAGGAAAAAAGGAGTAAGCTCTGATTCTAAAACATTCCCAGATCTGACAATAATCTATGGCAAAATGCCCTTCAGAGAAGGTGTGTGCACTTGCTGGAAGCATTTTCTATCTTGAGTGGATACAGCCAACTTTATTCCCTGGTGATGTCAATATGGCACCTTTTATCAGCTTGAAAATCCTCTGGCACTAAAAATGCATAAAGTCTAGAGGCTGTTTATGAGACTAAGAAGGTGAGTCAATAGACTCTGTTCCAAATTGGCAGGAAGAGACATCGTCCTAAACAGCTAAAGCTCCATAATTCACACTGAGCTTCTCATTAATTTAAATGTTAATGTAAATTTAAAACATGTTATATTGATTTGGAACTATTTTTGTATGAATATTGCATAACTGAGTTGCTAACAGCAGAACCCAAATGGACATTTCTTCACATCAACTTACCACAATTAGGGAAAAAGGTGAAGCCTTCCCTTTTAACTCCCTTTTTGTCATGTAAAATGTTTGTTTTAGTATAAGGTCTAGCTGTGAGAAGTTGTGAGAACCTCTGGCTTTAAGTGCAATTGCTTTAGACAGTTCTGAGCATAACGATGAATGTCTGAATCTATTCTTCTAGGGTAGTGAACATTTAATTTCCATGACGTATGGAAATTAGTGTCTTTCCCATTTCATCGGTATGAAAAATAAAGTCCACGTGACTGTGCTGGGTATTTCCATCTCTTGTTACTTCTTTAGCCGTCATCTCCTTTTATTGGCACTTACATTTTTTATTAAAAGCAAAACGCAATTGACAAGGATATTCCATTACATTAGGCGGACATCAAAGAAAATATGATGATGATGGTGATGATAATTATGATGTCAGCAATACCAGAGCATTCTTGCTCTTGGCTGGACCCTCATGTGAAGTACTTCATAGAAATTTCCTCATTTGATCCATACAGCAACATTGAGGTGGTGCAGCTCTTGTCATCCTGTTTCATAAATTAGAATATTGACACACAGAGTCGCAACCAGGAAATGATGCTGCTGGCCCAAAGTTTGTCTGACTTCAAAGTCCTATCTGGAACCGCTATGCTGTCTGAGTCTTAAGCTAACGATGTGATTAACACATGCAAGCCTAGAAAAGGGAATTTCATTTTTAAGACATGCATATAAGTATACAATTGAGGAATTCGACATTATATGGAAAAAAGGGGAAGATGGAGAAATTCAGAAACCTGGTTTCCGGGTCACAGACATGTTGTATTCCGGTTCCCTTTACCTGCATAGTGTAAAATGTAAATTAATTGATTAGTGAGGCCTATTCCAGGCCACACTGTAGGCAGCTGTATAATTATATGATTCATTTTGTTCTAATCAGTTCACCCTCTGCCTCATGGCTGTCTTCAAAACCACCCATCATAATGCTGCCTCTTGTCTGACGTCCATGGACCTGCAGACAACAACTCCCAACTCAGATCTCTGTGCTAAAGAAGAATCCTGCTATCAACACATTTCTTTGAAACATGCTAAATATCAAGAATAATACTCAGGTTAAAAAGAAAAGGCATCACTATGTTCCCCTGACACAGAAATGAAATGCAAAACTCAAAAGTCCTGAGAGAAATCAGTAAGGCCTTCAGAGATCAGAAGGTGAATATTAGCCGATGCATTCAGAGGTTAAGGTAATTTGGGCCTGATAGAACCTACTTGAGTTGAATATGTGCTGACCCAGTGTAGCCATCAAGCTTGTAGAGCCTGAACATATACCACAGAGCACAGGAAGAAGGTGTATAGCTTTTGGGATTAAACAGACTTGCCAGTTTCTGTCACTAAACTCTTTCGGGGTAACTGACAAAAACACCAGTGTCTTCACCAGTAAAACGGAAATCACAATTCAAATTTTTCAGAGAGTAGTTATGAGATTTAATTAATAAAATAATGTAGAATGCTTAGCCCAGACTTAGAAGTATAATACAGGTTTAGTCTCCTTTATTTTAATAATAGCAGCAAACAAATCTGATGCATCCATTTTAAAATGACCCTGGCAAGTAATGACTCCAGCTATCACTCAGCCATCAGCTTTAGAAATTATTATTGTTTTTGCAAGACAGTAACATATAAAAACAAATTGGATATTCACATTTCATCAAGAAATATCTGACCTGTTTCCTTGGAAGATATATGAGAGAAAAATAAAGCATGTTATCATGCTGCATTCTGTAAGCTATCTTGCAAGTTGCCCATGTCTCCTCTGTTCCTTCAGCATTTCAACTTTTTCTTCTTAACATCAGGATAGCCAAACTATTGGTCATCAGGTCCCAAAGGATTATAAACCCATGAGTTAAAAATCAAATTTTACTAAACTCTATCAGGTAGGCAACTGAGTTATTTTCAAAACAATGCATGAATTAGTCGATTGGTTGCAATTAATTGATTGCAATCACCTTAATATCATTTATCCACAAATAACTCATTGTTCAGCAGAGAGAAACTAACTATTGGTACTAACATTGGTACATATAAGTTTATATGTACCAATATGTATCAAAACTTAGGCTTGATCTAAACTTGATGGTTTTACTCCCACAGATTCTCCATGATCCTTCTACCTACATTAACCCATGGCCCTAGGAGAAAAATTGTCATAGAATTTGAAAGATGGAAGAAGCCTTACTGGCAATTTTGTACCAAGCCTTTCATTTGACGTGTAGAAAGATTAAGACTCAGCAAGTTTTGTATATCTGCCTAAAACTGGCTGGCTAATTATGGTAGGGTTATGAATGGAATTCAGTTCTAATTTCCAATCCAATTCTTATATTTACCTATATTTTGCTGTTACATCAAACTGAGAAATCTGAAAATTACAGTGCATGCTTTCTAGTTTTTTATGTTTGTTTGGCTATCAGAGTTGAAATAAACGGATAAATCTGTATTGCTTTGGGCTCATGGCCAGAAGGATGAAGTAAAAACAAGAAGCTTTTTTAAAATTTATGAACAATAAGCTATTTATAGATAAAAACTTTCCTTAGTGAACTTCATTTGACACATTTCAGCAATAAAATGCAATAAGCACTGACAAAGAAATGAAGACGAATATATCCAGAAATGACCAAAGCAAGTGTATACACACATGTTTATATATTTTACAAATATTGCTTTCATTTACCCATCTCTAGGTCTGTTAGCCATATAATATCCACATAGACATGAACCATAAACTGTTTGTCATTTTAAATTGCTAAATTTTATTGGAAGAATGTAGCAAGCAGGAATGTCTAAAGCTCATTTGTTTTCACGGATATGGTATGGTTTTAAAACGCGATATTTGTGTTCTCTTCCTCCAGGTGTAAAGAGACATCACCTGCAGAAATCCAGTGCCCTTAGTTAAATTCTTTGGGTTTTCTCAGGAAGATGAAAATCTGCTGAAATTCTGCTAAGGTAAGTTCCAAGCACCGCGAATCTGTTCTCCCGGGGCTTCCATGCTAGCTGGCTGCATTCAGAACAACGTGGGGGTCAGAAAGAAAAAGAATAGATAAAGGCAAATCCAGGTATCACTTTGATCAAGAATGCAGGAAAGATCTGAGGGAGTTGTTTCGGTGCATGACAAAAATGAGCTCCGCGGTGTTTAATCCCAGCATCGGTTAGATTTGTCCATCAAGCCCTGTTGTGCTTGGCAGTTGCAGACTATCCCAACATGGCAGGCTGCCCTGTGAAATTTCCAGTGGGGAGGAGCCGACCGGAATGCGTCGTCCTGCATCTCTAGCGATGGAGGGGTGGAGAATGAGTTGAGCTGAAATCGACAAAACCTTGCTTTAAGGTGTATCAGCCAAATAACCCACTGACCAAGAGGAGGAGAGAGAAAAGGAAATAAGAGGGAGGGCACGGGGGCTATTATAAGGATTATTTTTTCCGCTTGGAAAAAAATTGGATACGGGAAATAGGTATTCTTTTCTATCATTATTGAAGAATGGGAGAGACCTACCAAAAAGAGGAAGAGCCCTTTAGAAGTTGTATCAGGATTTTCTTAACCCGGACGCACACTAAGAGAAAACCTGATTCTAGGCAGAATTTTTGCCAGCTTCTTGTTAGAAGTCACCTATTTTCAGAATCAGAGTGAACATACTGTATGTGTGATCATCGAGCAGTTTACTATAGGGTAGACCACTACCATGTATGCTTTGAAATATTTTTTAAAAGTGAAAGTCCATGACATGTAGTGATTTTTTCATTACCCTGCAAAGAGTACGTGGAGGGAACAGTTTATCGAGGTGGTAAATGAACTTAGTTAACTCCTCAGTGTACTTGTCTCAGCGGGAATTTGTAATTCAAATTTAAGTAATCACCTGTGTACTTGGATTTATTTGTTGGTGTAAAGAAAACCGAGGAAATAGAATGCATTGGAAGTATAAAAAAGAAAAAATGTGGTACATATACACAAAGGAATATTATGCAGCCATAAAGAAGAACAAACATATGAACTTCACAGCAACTTGGCTGGATGTCGAGTAGATCGTACTCAGTGGTCTATCAGAGAAACAAAGAACAGAGTACCATATGTTCTCACTCATAAGTAGACCTTGAACAATTATAATACTATAAGAAAGGTATTGTCAGTAGTGGAAACTGTCAGGGGAGGGGGGCGGGATTGGCAGTTGAGAGAAACTGCTAGGACAGGGAGGAACACACCTCATTAACAAGGGTACCTGCATAATCAATGTTTGTATACCTAACTCTGAATTGTATCCTACATCTTTATAATCAAATGAATTCTAATCAAAATTTTTAAAAAAGAAAGTGCAAAAAATAAACCATAAGCTTGAAGAAACGCAAAATAATTAACTTAGTACAGGACGAAAACCAAACCACATATCTGTAGAAGGTAGCAGGACCAACTTAATATTCTCAACCAAATGCTGCCTTTAAAATGAATCGAGCTTCATCTGAGATTCAAGCTCATTAAAAAATTTGACTTATTCTGGTCGTTTGATATGACAAATTTTGGTGATCTGTCCTCTTGACCAAACTGGAGTGGTAAAAGAACAAAATTAATGAATTGGGCCATTTTAGGCTTCTATCAGGGAAGAGCAGGCATCTGGATTTACCATTTCACTATAAATACATATCACAGAGAAAGAATTAATCATAGAAAACAAGAGAGGACTGTTATCTGGAGGGTGATAACACTCACCACCCTGTGGCATAGATAGTGTATCACCTATTCACTTGAATAATCTACAGAAAGTATGGGTATAGTACCATTTAGAAAAAAATATTATCAAGGGTCTCTTGGGGGTGTATTTCAAGAATACTCAAGATCCACTAGATTGATCAATATTTTAAATCTGACACTCAAAATGTATAATCCTGCAAGCTAATGTGTAAACTTAAAAGTACAGTTAAATGTATAAAGGTCCTGACCTCAAGCTATTCACTTTAAAAGGAAAGGACAGCCCCTTGCTACCAAATCTCAGCTCCTGCAGGAACTATAGACTTCTGATATTTAAAACAGGAACCTGGTTTCTCTCATCTTTTTTCCTCAAGTATAGTATGAAAGCGTCTTGGATTTAAAATATGCTGTTATTTACATTTAACCAAAAATCAACACAGGGTTGGACTTTGGTAATGAAGGACTAAAACCCTGCTAGAATGAATGAAACCATGAAAGAGGAGCAATGGATATAGTCCCCGAGAAGGCGATCTCAGGAAGGGACATGCAGGGCGTACCAGGGGACATGTGAAGAGACATGTCAGTGCCCAGATCAAAAAAAAAAATTACAGAAAGATTTGAGTGTCGGGATGTACAATCACAAATGCACATTGAAGAGCCTGCAGACATGTCTACTACAGTCAGTGAGGGATGAATTGGAGAAAAACAGGACAAATATGTAATCTCTTGTCAGCTCTAAAATTTGAAATCATAGCTTCCTTCCGCTGGGTTGCCAGTCTGGATTCCCAGTTATAATTAAATCCTGGGGAAGATACAACCCATTACGTAAAGGGAAATCTTCTAGCCCCAGAAAATGAAAATATCTTGTTGAAAGAAAAATGAAGACAAGTAAGAAAATGGAAAGACGACTATTGCCATAGATGAGCCAAATCCCAAAGAATCCTTCACAAAAAAAGATGGTTAAAGACAGAGAAAGTGGTCCTAGCTCAGGAGGGTGTCCTGCTCCAGAAAGAAACGGATGCAAATCCTCATTAAGGACCCTAATTTCACATGCAGTGATTTCTCCAGAGAGATTACCCAGAGCTGCTTTCATCACTGACATTTAGTAAATGCGAGTTGAATAAATGATTGAATAAACAGACTAATTATGAATGAAATATTCATGTTTGCTCATCTAATTTGGAAAGAGGAAATCCCAGTTTTCTTCCTTTTCCCTACATTACCATTGCCCTAATAATATTCTTTTTTTTTTTAAAGCATATTAGAAAACTAGTTTGAGACCAGCCTGGACAACTTGGCTAGACCTTGTCATTACAATTAAAAAAAAATAAAAATAAGCGGACGCTGAACATTTACCGTAATACTATAAGAAAGGAATTGGCAGTAGCTGGAAATGGCTGGGGGTCGGGGGGACACATAACATTAATAAGGTACCTGATCTCAAACCAGGCAACGTGGGGACCAAAGGGAGGCCCAAATTTTACCTGTACGATGACCACTTGCATACCCTATCCTGAATTGTACCCCACATCTTTAAAATAAAATAAATTTTTAAAAAATAGCCAGGCATGATGGCGCACCCATAGTTCCAGCTACTTGGAAGACTGAGGCAGAAGGATCACTGAGCCCTGCAGGTCAAGGCAGCAGTGGCCATGATCATGGCACTGTACTCCAGTCTGGACGACAGAGTGAGACTCTGACACAAAAAACAAAACAAAACAAAAAAGGAATAAAAAAGAAAACTAAAAAAAAAAAAAATTTTTTAAACCTAATAACTTAAGAGGAAAGAGAAATAGATTTCCAATAGATCTATTCTAAAGAATTTATCTCAGAAGTTCAAAGCTATGTGGTTTCCAGGCACCAATAAATCAGAGCCCAATAAAAACAGATTATAGTGAAAGCATTCTAACTTTAATTCTGCCTTGAAATGTATGAAGTTTCTCATCATTTTCAGAATCAGTTAGTAAAATAAATGCGTAACAAGTTCTTTGGGTATTCAAAGAAATTTTCCAGGAACCCTTTGCAGAAGCATAATAAAATCCTAAAGAAGATCAGAAAATATAGCATTCATTTTATTAACTCTCAGAATTCCTCCTCTTTTGTTGTTTGTAAGCACTGACATGCAGATTTTTGTCCTGTTTGGAGCTGTTATCCTAATAAAAAATTAGACCTATCCGTAAGAAGCTTATTTCTGACATGCCCTTGCTGGTAGAAGGACTGAGAATTATTGTCTTTCAAAAGGTCATTAAATGGACAGAGCAAGAGATGGAAACATTAAGGTACCAAACAGCCTTTTCAGGTTCTTAGCTCATATACAAAAAGTAGATTTATACCTGGGCAAATGGCTGTGGTTGCTATTTTATGATTGATATTTTTACTTAGCAACAAATGGAGTTCCACTTATTCCTAGAAACAAATCTATAGATTAGATTCCCAAATGTCTATAATGAGTTATGCAATTTCAAGTGAAAAAATATTATTGCCCCAATCTAAAGAGAACTAAAAGGATATTTGCTGTTATGACATCCATGGGGATTTTTTAAATATAAAAATACATATTCTTTCCAGTTTGGGCTGTCACTGTAATGTGACTGGATTGATAGTGACTGAAATAGTTATTAGATCTGATTCATAGAGTTCTTGGTCATAGAACAAACATGCCCACATTCCCATGACTCAGGTCCCGGTTAACAAATCCTTACACCATATATCTTATGTTGCCCTACTCAGGGAGATTATAAGCTCCATGGGCTGCCACGTCCTTTCTCTTTAAGTTAAAAACTAAATTAAAACACCAAGTAATAGCAAGAGTGTAGAAAAAGAGCACGTTTATAGACTGCAGTTCACAGTTTAATTTGGTTAACCCTTCCAGAAACCAATATGACATTTTTACAGAAGTCTTTAAGTGTACTATTTCCTTTTCTTTTCTTTCTTTTTTTTTTTTTTTTGAGTTGGTGTCTCACTCTGTCACCCAGAGTGGAGTGCAGTGGCAGCTCCCGGTCACCGCAGCCTCGACCTGCTGGGCTCCGGCGATCCTTCTGCCTCAGCCTTCCAAGTAGCGGGAACTACAGGCATGCGCTACCACGCCTGGCTGATTTTTTGATTTATTGTAGAGATGAGGTCTCGCCAAGTTGACCAGGCGGGTCTCGAACCCATGGGCTCAGGCAATCCACTCACCTCAGCCTCCCAAGGCACGGGATTACAGGCTGAGCCACCGAGCCCGGCCTATTTCCTTTTCTAAGATGTATAAATCAGTGGACAATTGAAGATA